CAGGGAAGCCTTCTAAGTATCCAGGTGCCTAGCTCAGGCTCTGTGGAAGTGTGCCTGACCAAAGAGTTTTAGGGTCTTTGTTGAGGGCTTGGGCCGCGGCTTGAGGCTTAATTCCGAAACCCGGACCCCTAAATTTTGTCTGAAAAAAAAACCTCAGCTGCCAAGCCGCAGCTCGAAACATAGCCGGCTACCCTAAACCCTAAACCCTAAGTAGCCTGGTAACCTCACAGACCCGGACCTTCCTGCTTTTGACCTTGTTCAGCCAGACCTTAACCAGCCCTTACAATACCAAACTGCTTTTCCTTTAGAAGGGTCTGTATAAAGATATCAGAATCAGGAACCCTGGTAGCTTTTCCAAGGGTTCGTATAAAGATATCAGAAGCAGGAAACCTTGATAGGGAAGTTTTTCGGGTTCAGGCACATTCCGCTTTCCTCTGAAAGTGCTAAACCACCGAGGTCGAAGCCCAAAGCCTAAGTTTAAGCTCCTTCCCGAAGGGTCCAAAGGACCTAAAACTCATGTACTTGCGTTGCGGACGGTACTCGTAGTTTTGTAGGTCAGTATTCAGAAGAGTATAAAACCCTAGACCCTATACTCTAAACCCCAAACCCCAAAGCCTAACCCCTATATGATTGTTAGATACTTGGGCCCTTAGGGCTTTCACAGGCAGACACCATCCTAACCGGACTGCTTCTCGCGAAGTTTGCCTCCTTTCCATTGCACGGCTCTTGGGAGGCTTTCCGAAGCTTTTTGTGTGTAACAGAAACGTGCTAACCGGGCATGAAGATAGTTGATGAATTTCGGGCGTTTTTGGGTGTATAATGGTTTTTGTGAGGTCTATCTTAGGGCTTCTTGTTTTCCGAAGCTCCTCCTTGGTTTTGAAGCAGGGGCTTGGGGTATGGGTCGAGTTCCGACTCCTGAGCCAAATAAGGGATCAACTAAAGGACCAAAGCCATGCACCCTAAACCTCTAAACCCTAAAGCCTAGGCCCTGAACCCCTAAACCCTACTTGTACAACCCCTGAGCCCTTAAGACCCTCAACCCTTAAACCCCGAACAAGCCTAGACTTCAGCTCCCTGAGCTTACGTCAAGTTTCTCTTAGTAGCCGAATGAGGTCCCTTAGCACCTTTTGGGATACTTGAATCTTGAATACCCCATAGAGCTGAAAGTTTACACTTTTTTTGAAGGCTCATGAACTCGGCGACTAAAGGTTAGGACCCTTATATAGAAACCCAAAGCAGCTGATGCGGTGTCATCCCCAGCCCATCTTGGTTCCGGGCCCAAGCTCTGAATTTTGAAAAGGCAACCCCACAAATCTGTACCTGGATCGCTCCCTAACCCTCCAGGTACCTACTATACTTGGAGGCCCAGGGGACTTAGTAAGTAGGTTATAAGTAGAGTTATAAGTACCCTACATGGAGTTGCCCCAATTATAACCCTACTTATAACCGACTTACTAAGTCCCCCTAGGCCTCCAAGTATAGGGTACTAGGGACCCTGGGGCCCTATATAGTAGGTACCTGGAGGGTTAGGGCCTCGCCACCTTTTTGCCTAAAGACTTGTGAGCCTCTACGTGACTGGGGGCAGTTCGGCAAAATATGGAAAACAACAACTTCCTTTGGTTACCGGGTGTAGGTAATATAGGGGCCTCAATAATTGCCTCTACAATTTTGGCGGCTCCTTATTATTAATATTATAGTATAATGTACCCCAAAACCTTATTCAAAGTAATAAGGCCCCGCCCATATTAGACCATGCTTAACAACTCCCCTTTCTCCAAAGGCCCCAGCACGAGGATCCCTATGGCAACAGCTTGTAAGATAGGAGGGGGGCTGCTTCAAATCAAAACTAGCTCTCGCAGTGCCCTTAAGCCTGTAAAAGCCCTAAGCAGCTAAACCCTAAACCCTAAACCGCATTATTTGCACTTGCTTTGTATGCACATAAGGCCCTTCGATCTCCAATAAGTACGCGATAGGCCTTATTGTACGAGCTAAGCATGGTCACCTACGGGTTTAGGGCTTAGGGTTTAGGGTTTAGGGTGGGTTTCCGTGCTCAAGATTGCAAAAACCTCGATGCAGCGGCGCATACTTCAGGGGCCGTGAGATTTGCATTATCGGGTTCCAAAGAAGGATCCGCTTCCGGCATTTCCCCGAAAGCTCCAATGGAACCTGTGCAGTGTATACACACACACACATAATATATATATATATATATGCATATATATATATATATATATCGGCTTCAAAAGTAGTTACATAAAACCCCAGGCTTAAGTATATACTATATACCCATCGGCTCCAAAGTAGTTCCTTTTTCAATCATACTAAGGAGCCCCGCGAGTACTGGTATTTCTTGAGGCCCCTATATCAGGCTAGTCTAGAACTTTTTGGGCCCCCGGGGAACATGTATATCATAGAAGCTCTTTTATTCTAAGGATATTTAGCCCATGACCCCTAAACCCTAAAACCTAAAAACTCCAAAGCCCTTTAAACCCTAAACCCAATAAACAAAAGAACCTAAGCCGTACAATGGGAACCCTGAGGTTCGTCCAGCTCCCAGTCAAAAGTGGGCTTGCCATAGGAGTCTGAAGAATTTAAGCACCGCGTCTCCAAGACATAGTGCTTTGGTTTATGGGCTATACCCATAGGCTCCAGTATAGTTCCTTTTGGTGGTTTCGGATCCTATAAGGTAACCCCGAAAAGGAACTATATACTATGGAGCCTATGGGTATGGTGCAGGGAATTAGGGTTTGGGACTATATGCTATACCCGCAAGGGCCTTGCTTGTTGATGCTTTGGGACTATATGCTATACCCGCAAGGGCCTTGCTTGTTGATGCTTCCTAGGTGTTCAGCCCTGCCCCGCCCCTTCGACACAAGCCGTTCGACCAAAAAAACGCAATGTAGACGCCTGAAGAATGAGTAACACTCTTCATGAGGGCTTCCAGTCCCCCAAACCCTATATTTATACCCTAAACCCTAAACCCTAAACCCACTCTTTCGGCAAGTATGTTCGGCCCCCCAGGCCTCTCAACCCAAACAAGCCACCCGTTTATTAGGTCCCCAAGCCTTAAATCTTCAGTAGACTCGAGCTCGGGGCCCCCCGAAACCCAAATGAGGCTCCGGACCAGGGTTTAGGGTGTAGGGTTTAGGGTTTGGGGTTTATAGGGTTTAGGGTTTAGGGTTTAGGGCAAGCTTTCAACGCAGAGTCTTCAGCTGTGGTTCTCGTGCCAGGGGGGCCGTTGCGTCTTCGGGCTCATGAGCTTCTTGGAAAGTTACAGACGGCTCAGTCGTGGGAAATTTCCTACCAGATCAAGGCAGATAGGAAGTATATGGACCCTTCAGGCTAGCTGTGATGAGTTTAGGGCTACAAGTAGTTGTTGTGGCCTTATACTTCCTAAACCCTAAACCCTAAACCCTAAACCCTTTGAGAAGGGACTTCAGGTTTGGTTTGACGATTTAGGGAGGCGCAGGCGCCTGTCGCAGCTGAGGCAAGCTGAACCACGCCTGCTTTCCCAACTGCGTCTGCCTCTGGCCAGGCGCAGCATTGCAATACCTTGAGAGCTTTCAGGCTGTTTTTAGGTTCATGGCAGAACTTGCTTTCGTAGATGCAGTAAGTACAGCTACACGAAGCTAAGAAGTTTTCAGATGGCTCCGACCCAAAGCAAGGACTAGGATGTAGAAAGTATAGCAACATGTCAATAGCAGTGGGGGCGAAGACCCGCAGAATTCCAGCACAAAACTTGCCGCCTCAAGCTATTGAGTTCCACCCGAACCCCCAAACTTATATAGAATCCACAATTCTACCCTGACGAATCCCTGAACCCCTGTACCGAAGTGAAATTCGGATTGGTGGCTTGCTAAGTCGGTAGTTAGGGCTTCGTTGAAACACTGGTGAGTGCAGAATCTCTTCTTGCATATAGGGATACAGGTAGCAAAAGCTTACAACGAAAGCATCTTTGCACCCTGAACCCATCGACCCAAATGCGAATCCAAGCCCTGTGTTAACCCTCACCTTCATTGTAAGAAGACATATACTGGGAGGGCAAAGGCTTTCGGTGTCCAGTTGCCGATCCTATTGTGCAGCCGCCTCCCCTTGCATGATTGACCTGCGAAGTGTTGAGTTAAGTTGTTTGTCAGAATTCTGCCGTGGCAACCTGGCAGACAGAGCTCCGTATGGTCACGGGCCAACATTTTTCTAGAGATGCGTTGCAAGGCGACAGCAAGTGCTACGGCTTCGCAGAAGGATTCCTATGACAGACGTGCCGCGCTTTCCTGTCGTGACAGAATCGACAAACGGCCAAAGAGTGCTGCACTCGCAATTCCATCAGTTTCGGTTCGGAATGGCTTTGCAGGCGCCGTGTGCGTCTGCATTGGACCAGCTTCGGTCCGACGAACGGTTTGTTCGACGGTCTTGGCGCCCGAAGGCAGCCCAGATTCCAACAGCTTCGGCCCTGACAAGGGGGGCCACCCAGATACCTCTAACATAGGAGCCTAAATAACTGCCTATACTTTTTTTTGGGGGGGGGGGCTCCTTGTTATAGTTGTAGTATAAAGGACCCCCAAACCCTATTCGAACTATTAAGGCCCCTATATTGGCTTCGGCCCGTTCATGTTGGGGGGGCCCGGCCACTACCAGATTCCAGTGTGATGGTTTTGAGGGGCCACGCGCCGCCCGAAAGCCACCGGCATCAAAGTCGTCTACGCTGGAGCCCGGTGTCATGCTCCTGATGAAGAAGGAAGGTCGTGTAGATATTTGAGAAAGTGCGGCCCTTTCGAAGGTAGGGTCGGGCCCGCTTTTTAATGGCATATTCGCCTAAGAGGCTGTATGCATTCTTACAGTATGACAAAGCTACTTATAAAACCGTAGGCTTAACAAGGAAGGTCTTTTGGGTGCTTAAGGTCAACCCTGCAACCAGAAGTTATACCCTAGTTATAGTGAACCGCAGAAAGTTGGTAGATGGACGCAGGATGATTCGTACTGGAAATTCCCATACTTTGCCTCAAGCACATGAGTGAGGATAATGATGCTCCAACCCTAAACCCTACAGCAGGGTCTTGTTACTACTGCTCGCAGTGGTTTCTCCTGGCTTCTGTAGATTGTTTCACCTTGCCAACCTACGACCACAAGCCTCGCCTGCATTTGTCCGAGTGTGAGAGCCGACACCCTAAACCAACTGTCAGTTGGGATGTCTGCATGACGCATTCAAAGAGTGTCGACAGCATGGGTGGAACGTGATGCGTGGAGGAAGGTTTGCATGACAGCTGCATGATCCTGACGTTTCGTCGTTGAGTGAGTCAAACATGGGGGCCGACACGGCGGTCAAGGATACAGCATGCAGTGAGGGAGCATAGCGTGACACAGTTGTGAGAAGTCGTGACTGCGTAGACCTTGGAGCGCCTGTAATGCTTTGAGCAAGGGATTGTTAATGCCTTTGGAACGGTGACACGTGCCGTTCATGTCGCCAAAGTGCTTTTGCCTCGTACCAGGAACCTCGCCTAGGCATGTCCGAGAGTGAGTGCTGAAACCAGCTCTCTGGTTTCTACTTGAATGTCCCTCAGGCCTGCCTCCTGGCGAAGAGGCTTGGCATGCATGTTGAGGTTTTTCCTTTTAGGATTCCTGAAGCGGTAGGATTTTGAGGAGTGTGAAGGTTTCGGGTTTTGGTGTTCAGGGTCGATTTCTACTGAAACGTGCTTTAGGTTAAGTATGGCTTGGGGTCTTAGCACTTCGGATGTTCAGGGTGGTCCGAGGCTTCGGGCTTGAATTTTCATATGACTGTCTGTTGTGTTTAGGACCCTCAACCTTCAGCCAGGGCGATCCTAAACACCTTGGGAAAGTACCCACGCCTATCTTCTCCGTTCTATTCGCATCAGATAGCTCGCCTCCGGAAGATGGCTTTTCGCAACTCATGAACTCATGTGTGTAGGGTTTGGAGAGTTTATGGCTAGTTTACAAGGCTGCTCATACGTACACGTTGTGTCCAATCAGCAAACAGTAGCATTCATGAAAGAATGGTTGACTGCATGAACTGAATGCATGAATGCAAAAAGACAGAGAGTAGGCATAAATGAGCGAGTAAGTCACAGAACCAATGTATGAACGGATCCATGAATGCTTGTGAAAGTATGTATGTATACCTTCAGTGTATGTATGTAGGTATGTGTGTATGTATATACGTATTCATATATGGAGGGGTGGATGGATGGATGCATGGATGTATGGACGTATGGACGTATGCATGTACGGATGGATGGAGGGATGGGATGTTTTGATGCCTACAGACGCCATTTCAGGAGCACACAATGCCCAGGTTTCGCATCAATCCTAAACCATCACTATACAAAGCCGCATAATTAGGCCACTCATCTGCCCCTGACTCCTACACCCTGTATATGGACGATTATATAGAGACCTGAATAATTCGTGAAACGGTTCCTTAGTGTTTCTTTCTGTTACAAGTATACTATAACACAAACCACAAAAAGTGTTCTGAATGCTAAAACCCCGACATTGCACAGCCTAGCAGCCCAGGTCGCGCTGGATCCTATGAGAGAGATGGTCGCGCCGGGCACGACGCCGTTGCGCTGCGCTCGACTGCGGGCACTCTGCAGGACGGGGCAAGGAGGACGGTAGCTTCAGTAATTGTTTCTAACCCTACAGGGCTCCGACGGCACTAATACTGGGTCACCGGGGTATATATGGTTAGCAAGCTGCTACTATTTGGGTAGCTGGAGCCCGGGATGTTGCGATGACAACGGTTTACATATACCGTTTGCTTCGACTGTGTGTATTCTCGGAAAAGGAACAAGGGGACAACAGGGAAGACAAGGGGCTCTTCTCTTAATAGTTCGCGAGGCTCAACCGAAAACTGCCCTCAAGGCCAACCTGCGCCCTTAAGCGTGAAGTTTGGTAATCCGGGCTGAGGATGCTGGCCATGGGATGGTAAGTCGGGCTATTTCTCTCCAGCAATAGAACAGCAGAGCTCAACAGTAAAGCCGAAGATCAGTTTTGCGTCAAAGCTGACTGGAGAGGATCCAGCCAGGTGACGAGTTGACTTTCTGCTACTTTGGCCACTCGAAAGCATGAAGCTGTCCACCTTGTGTATTCCTTGCACATGTTCGGTCTACTGAATCTGGCCATCGACCCTAAACCCTAAACCCGAAACCGTGGACTTGCCCGGCTGCAAAGAGTACCGGTCCGAGAGCCACTTTTGAAGTCATGCTGGGGGTGGTTTCAGCAGAGGCTTGCTCGTTGATTTCCATGTTTTGGTCTAAGTGGTCTTCAGGAGGTTGTCTGTGCATACTGTATACATGCATATTTATTGATTGATTTGTCTGCCTCCCCATCTGTCGTTGCAGTAACCATCTTGTTTGTTCCTTTCTGTGAGCGTCAGCAAGAAAATTTCAACGGATGATAGTTGGGAAGTTGTAGGCTTCTCCGGATATACGGCGTTGGGCCGTGCAGGCGGCACAGCTGGCAGAGTTCGGGATTGCAAGGCTTCGGGCAGAGGGCGCCGCAATCTAAGGGACATGCTGCAAGTCTTGTTGGAACTGGAGTACATGACAAGAGTACAGGACAACTTGCAGTCGAGGGCAAAACCCTAAACCAACGGTGCAGCCATGAACCATTCCATTTTTGCCGAGAGCCAGCGGGAGATGTTGAGCGCGTCTTCGTCCAGTAAACGTCCGAATAAAAAGTCTATAAACCCCAACAGCAAGACTAATATAGGGGCCTAAATAAGTGCCTATTCTATTTGGGGGGGGTCCCTTATGATAATTTTTGTTTAATATACCCCAAAGCCGTATTCTAATGACCTCTACAGTACATCCCACCCCACGCCCTCTACTTTACCAGTAACCTTGCAGAGGTGGGGACTTCGCGGTGCAGGTTCGAAGCACCGAGGACTGGTTTGGACCATTGAAGCCGCTAGGGCCGCTAGGTCGGGGGAATCTACCCAGACCCTGACAGGTGCGTCGCTTTGGTTACCTCAGCTTATTGAAAAAGACCCCCTGGCCACCAAAAACCTCCGGTTATCCAAATAATGGGTCACTGGGGTAAATTATATATGGCCAGTAACTTAAAATTTGATAACTGGAGTCCTAGGGTAGCCCATTGTCATCCAAGACAGGAAAAATACTTTAGGGCCTAGGTCGTAGTTCTAGAGTGAGTTCCTTCCCGTAGGCTGCTAGCTGCTCTATAGGTCTCTAGGTTTATTGTTGGGTAGAAGGCTTGCGGCGTCTAGATGCAGACTCCAGATTTATGTAGGGTGTTTTTTCAGTAGTTCCTTTTGGGGGTCCATATTTAGAATCCTATAAGGTAATCCCAAAAAGGAACTACTATGGGGTGATTTAAAGTTTAGGTTGTGGGAATGTTGGCCCCCTTCCGGACTGGAGTGAGGACGGCAGACTCGAGCCTTCCATCCCAAAACGTAACGAAACGGACCACTCCGCAATTTCGATCCGAACCTCGGGGATCCACGTGAAAAAAGCCTTAATCATTAGAATAGGGTTTTGGGGCCCATTATATTATGTAAGTATAGTAAGGAACCCCCAAAACAGTTTAGGTAATCGTTTCTTGAGGGCTCCGGCTAGTGTTTCGAAGGCTCCTGGGAGTTGGTTCAGGTCTATATATAGTCTCCATTCTACTTCCTTTTTTGGGTTCCTTGTTTGGGACCCTAAATGTAAAGTTGGCTAAGCCAAGAAAGGAACTACAATAGAGACTATGGGTAATGTGGCGTTTCGGATGCAGGATGTCCTTTCCTAAAGCTTTAGCACGAACACTACTTGGAGGCCCTGGGGACTTAGTAAGTAGAGTTATAAGTACCCTTAATGGAGTTACCCCAATTATAACCCCTACTTATGTCCGACTTACTAAGTCCCCTGGGCCTCCAAGTAGGGCCCACCGTGTGCTCAAGCTCCCCGAAATCCCTGGTACCCGGACTGGCGGTGTCTTTGGTTGCAGTGCGCGCGAAGATCGGCCTGACAGTTGCTATCTGGGAGTTTCCGAAAAAATTGGGTACCTTATTTGGGGATCCTGATAATAAGGATCCTACTGTTTAGGGTACTATAATAGGGTCCCCTATTTTCGGAAACCCCCATCTCCATTCTTGTTCAACAAGTCTGGGAATCCTCTTGAAAGATGGGCCGTGCTTGTTGCTTCTGGCTGCTATGCCCTGTCGTCCGTTTTAGGCCTCAAGCCCGAGACCACACCCTAAACATCCCTAAACCGTAGTGATAGGGTTTAGGTCGTGAGGGGGCTTTTGGCAAGCCCTGAACCCCCCCGAACTCATCAGGAGCGACGCCGTCGCCTTTGGGAGGGCTTTGAGTTCGAGTGCCGATGCGACACTCAGATGCAAGAGTTCTTGGTGGGTGAGAAAGGGTTTAGGGTTTGGGGCTTCTGGGAGTTGTAGGATTGGAGGCTTTCATGGTTTGTCTCATAGAGTTCCGGTTGCCGCTCATCATGCTTGTCGGCTGGTCGGTTGCTTGGTCGCTGTCGCTGTCTCCGGTCGTGACCATCGTCGCCTGAATGATCTTCTTCGTTTTGCCGTGGTCCGAGCTTTCTCCCGATTCGTTCTGCCCACGCCGCTTCAGAGCTACAGATCTGCCATCTCAGAGATTCGATCCGCCTCGCCAGGAACTTTGCGAACCTGGCGCAGCTAGACTTCAGATATGACCGGGTTTCAGGGTTGGTCTGTTACAGTACATATGACTGGAGCATACCGGAGCTTAACATTAGAGTTTGCGTTTGTTCCAGAGTCGTAATTGTAAGCGCCCCCTAGCTTTAGGAAGGGGTGGGGTGCGGAGTTTGGGCATGTCCGGGGTGACAAGTTTAGTCTTAACTCACTGTCTAAAGGCTCTCGTTGCAGTTCCTGGAGAACGAAATTGCATGGGCAAAGCATCATTATAATGTCATATGCTGCCGCCCCCACTATCAGCTAAATAAAGGTCCGTATGTATCACACAGGCAAAAAGCAGCGCCAGGATTTGAAGGCTCAAAGGATTAAATCTATAGCAACCTTTAGCACCAGAGAAGGCACAACCATGAGTGCAAAGTCTAGTACCAGAAAAAGTACAAGCATGAGCACAACATTTAGCACCAGAAAAGGCACACTCGTGAGCATAAAAGTTACACTAGAAAGCACAATCATGAGCACAAAATTTAGCACCAGAAAAAGCACAATCCTGAGCACGTAATTTGCCGAACATCAAGGCTGCAAGTGTGAGGTCCTGAGGCGGATTATTTTGCTTACTGTGGAATTATTTTGACAACAGCACAGTCAGAAGCACCAACCAAATGCAGCACCAGAAAAAGCATAATCGTGAGCACAACGTTTAGCGCCAAAGAAAGCACAATCGTGAACATAAAATTTAGCAGCAGAAAAGCAAATTCATGAGCACATAACTATCACCAGAAAATTGCAGTTGTGCTGGCTTTTTGTGGTGCTGCTGTTCGTGGTGACTGTTGCTGAAGCGGGCGACATTTAAAAGTATAATTATACTAGAACTGCAGTGGTAGGTTAGAGACATTGGCACCTGGAAGTAGCAGGGTTGGAGGGGTGAGCTCGGGTTGGAGCGTGGCAGCGACAGTGAGTGGTATGGGAGTGATCGTGGTCGCGGACGGACTTGGTGGTGAAAGTAGTGGTGGTATTGGTGGTGGTGTTGGTGGGGGTGGGCGTGCGGGTAGAACAGCAACCACCCATGTTTGTCTACCTAAACACAACCCAAGGACCAGCCGGCCAAGAGCTACGGCCAGCTGTGTAGCCGGATGACATTGGACATGGCTGTCAGGTGTCCTGGGACCTGGGTCTGTACGTTGTAATGTGGAAGCCCGAATACTAATCAAAGCCTCTTGCGGGGCTTCTGCACACCCAAGCCCAAAACTCAATGTCATCATAGCACACCTATCAAGATCCGGATAAAAAGCCGTTCTTGTATGGGTAAACCGCAAAACAAAAGCCACAGGCCCCATAGTAGTTCCTTTTTGAGGTTCATATTTAGAAGCCTATAAGGGAATCCCAAAAAGGAACTATGGGGCCTATGGGAAAACCATAGGAAGGAGACCTGAGGGCTTGAAACCTTGCGGGGTTCACGGCTTTGAGAGACGTAGCCTTAAGCCTCAAGCCTTACCTGCTTAGGGTTTAGGGCCTAGGGTTTAGGGTTTAGGGTTTAGGGTACCCTAACCCTCCAGGTACCTATTTTATGGGGCCCTAGGGGCGCTAGAGGTACCCTATATAGTAGGTACCTGGGGTGTTAGGGTTACTTAAGTGCCCCAGAGCCTGGCCTAAACCCTAATCCCTGCCATGTTTCGGGAACGATTTGGGATTTTGCCCCTTCTGACTTAAGTGCAACTGGACGGATGATCGACTGCCCAATGCAGGCCGCAGGAGTTCGGGGCGATTTCCTTTTTTTGTTATTATGGGTTTTTGGAAAATTATTGTTGTCATTGTTCTGCTGATTGTTATTATTACTTTGTCATTACTTTTAAGCTAAGATGTGTTTTAACAGATCCCTAAAAAGGTAGGCTTTTCTGGTCGACATGCAAAGGCAAGCGCGCCCTCTGCTTCGGTGTCTTGGTGAGCTCAGTGTGCTAGTCGGTAGTTGAATAGGCCGATAGTCAGATAGCCAGGTAGACACATCGACAGATAGACGGATAGATATCGAGAGATACAAAAACAGACAGGCACAGAGTCATGCAGGCATAGAGGCATGGAGACATAGATCAGCAGATGAGATCAGATAAGAGAAGGGAAGATAACGACATATTATAAACGAGACGAGAGGAGAGGATAACCTAAGCGAATGTTGGACAGTACGAACAAGTAGACAGATCGATCGACAGATGCATAGACGAAGAGTTAGTCCAGTTTGGGATCTGCGCATATTCTATATATATATATATATATATATATATATTTATACTCTTACGAGTTTGTGTGGATCGTATTTGGAGCTCAGGCTTGTCCTAGACCAGATTGGATATGGGCCTTGATCAACCCATGAACCCCTACTGACACTCACCCTAAACCCTAAACCTGTATCGGACACTTATTGCTATGCCTGCATTTGCGAGTGTGTGAGTCGAAACCCGTATCATAAACTTAACTGCCTACAGAAGGTCTTCGGACTCCGACATAAAATCGTCATATGTAGATCCTCGTAAGATGAGTAGTAAAGCTCTGTTGGAAACACAGGGGTTTATGAATCCTGGAGGTAACCCTGACTTGGCGAGCTGAGACCTTTCGAACGTGCTGAAACCGGAAACCCTAAACCCTAAACCCTAAACCCTAAAACCCTCACCCTCAAAGCAGGAGGGTCCCAGGCCCACATGAAAAAGACTGGCCAGCCAAAACCCACCTGCCTAGCCAGCTGCCTGGCTGCCTGAAAAGCCAATTCCCATCCAGCAACCTTCCGCAAGTCATGTCCAAAAGCATAGACATAGAGCCTTGGCCTAGTCCTGATCGCCACAACAAACCCGAACCCCCTGAAACAATAATCTCAGTCGTAAAACCTTACCACATTTTCCGGAAAAGCACATGTGCTTGCAAAACCTCTAAGCTTGATAACTACCGTAAAACCCCGAATCCTGATTGGCCACAGAATCGTGCCATAAGCCTGAAAATGCCCCAGCGCAAGATTCCAAGGCAAGCCGCCACCGCTGCCCCCTGAGGCCAAAATAGCTGGTGCTCGGTTTTGGGACTTGTTCTGGCTTGGGGTCTTGAAGTAGAGGATTTCGCGGTTTCGCTTGGGCCTAAAAGCCACAACATGATGAAGAAGGCTTTAGAAAGGGGTAGGTGGCTGTCTATAGGCCTGCTTGGGAGAATATGAGCAATCGACAATGCCCTGCGTAACCCAGGTAAACTCAACAGGTTTATTTGTTTGTTTTTGAGACGGGGGGGTTGTTTTAGGGTTCATGGCAGTTTAGGCTTTAGCGAGTGTCAAACCGCCATTCGAGCCTCTGAGCATGTGGCAGGGCCTTCGCCGTGGCCCACGGGATCTTTCCGCCGCCGGCGCTGATCGCAAAATATGTTCCTTCTTGTCCTTATGGTTTTCTACACTGCCATTTGCTGTGCAGCCGCCACTACCTCGGTCAGCCTCACCATCCACATCAACATGAGCAACACCACGATATTTCCTCACTACCACCACCGGTAAAGCCACCATAATCAACAGCCACTTCAGTTTATTGTCATAACTGAATCATAGCAGCCATCTCAACATAACATCCAATGCTTGCACCACCGCTACAACGACTAGCACAGCAACTGTGCGACTCTGTCACGACGACCAACAACGACGACTTCCACTACCACCTTCCCCCGGTCTTTGGCAACGACGACAACAGCAGCAACGACAATTACACCGTAATCACCGTAATCATAACTGCGGTTGTTTTGCTCCCACTGCTGTAGTAGGCCATCGGAATAAAGGATGTCGTCTCGCCAGCAATCCTGCGCCTTGAACTCCGCACCGAGCACCTATCCCTGTGTCCTAATCCTGAGCCCTTATCGAGGCTGAAGCCTGAACTTCCGAACCATCCCAAAATCTCGTAGCACCGAGGCTCCCCCCCAAGACTCAGCTCAGACGCCGGGTGAAGTCGGGTTTTCATGTGGGTTTGTTCGTGTTTCCTTCTACGGATGATGGTGATAACAGCCCGTGCATCATATCCTAAACCCTGAACTAGCTACTGCCACCGACTTCCAGGGACATCCCTCCGACACTTCCACGACCACCACAACGCTCCAAAGCCATAAGCCCAATACATGCAGACAGCTCCGGACCCGGTGGTGGCTTTAACCCGGATTCTTGCATCGAGTTCCTACGGTCCCAAGTTCTTTTCAGCCGTCAGTCCCAAACGTTTAAATTTTTATGCTCGGAACCCGTTGTATCCACCAGGGCTGTGTTGATTTTTGGGGCCAAATCAGGGCTGTGGATTTGGTATGACCTCTGGGGCAGGAGGATGAAGCGCCCAAGGCCCCCCAATAGTAAACGGTTCAGGGTTCCTGTTGAATACGCCCTACAAGCGATGTACACGGGGTTGTTTGTGTTTTAGGGGCTATTGTTTAGGGCTCCGGGCAATTTGAAATATAGTATAGTAAACATATACCCCGAAATCTCATGCCAATCATTCAAGGCCCTCCCATAACCGTACTCGGGGCCTTCGAAACCTCCAAATACACCCTAAACTGGCTCGGGGTTAAAGGTCCTGGCGTGACGTTGCAAGCCAGTTGCAGAGAGGGTTCCCCTACACCCTAAACCCGAAACCCTAAACCCTAAACCCTAAACCCCATAAACCCTAAGCCCTAAACCCTAAAATAGTGTACCCGCAGCCCAGCGGCTCGCATCTCGCCGAATCGGCGTCGATCGAGAGCCGGCCTGCACCTTGGCTTAACCTTCGTCTTGGCAGTAGAGTAGGTAACCGTTAACATCCTTTTAACCTTTTATGGGCGTATATACAATACGCGTTCTACAAGGGTTCTATGGTTAGTCGAAGTATTTCTGACCATTGTTTATGATGCTTGGGTGCTTTCGCATTATGTTGATGGTGATGATGATGATGATGATGATGATGGTCGTTTGTCGTGTAAATACCAGCAGCAATCACACCTTGTCCATTTCATGTTTCCATGTTTAGTTGTGATTACAAGCCTGGGCAGAATATGTGCCAGGCTACAGGTTCTGGTTCGAAGAGCGTCAGATCCCGGATGTACAGTAGGGCTGTGGGGTGTGGGCTCTTTGGCCTCGGCCTTTTCTGTACCTTAAGAACCCAAAACCTGCTTTTTTGTAGGGTCCCTATAAAAATCCCATATTAGGGTTTATAATAAGAACCTACAAAAAAAGGGTTTGGGGTTCTTAAGGTACGGGTGTAGGGCTGTGGAGGATTCGGGGCTTAGGCCCCAGGGTTTGTTGGAGGACTCGAGGTTGGTTGCAGGTGCTCCGCGAGTTGCATCATGGCTTTGGGCCAGAGATGCTATTCATGTAGGGGCCTGTATAATTAGTTAGAACAGGTTTTGGGGGTATATTTTCATACATATATATATATATATACATATATATATATATGTACTTATTTATTTATAATCAGGGGCCCCCAAATAGTATAGGTAATTATTACGGCCCCTATATTTCCTTCAACCCCAAGCGGCCTAATGGTCCTGGTTTCTGTTTTGCTTGAGTTGGTCAATGTTGGTCGCTTAGCTTCTAGGGCTTGTTGCAGGGGAGCAAGCCTCTCTTGAACCGTACAACAAATTTATAAAATTTATACACACTGTAACATGCCCCGAAAGTCTTTTCTAATTGTAAAGGCTCCTATATTGCTTGCCTGAAACCTTTCACCCCCGCCCCATAAAAAACCCTAAACCATATGAGTAGTTCCGTAAACATTAGGGTTGGTCCTGTATTTTTGTGACCGTAAAGGGGCCCTAATTTAAGGGAGCCACCCCTATAGTACCCTTTTCGAAACCACTTTAGAAACCCTTATAGATCCCTTTAAGGGGACCCGAATTCACAGAACTGCCCGTAAAGAAATACCCCCATCCCCTTTAGAAGCCCTTATGGATCCTTTTAAGGGACCCAAATTCACAGAACCACCCAAAAAAGAATAACTAAACCCTAAACCCTGAACCC